TAGACGGTTAAAAAAAAAACTGTTTTTGTATGTTAAATCCAACTAAACAAGGGGTATTTTGGTAAATTCATCATCTTTTTCATAATTTTAATAACCATGAAACCCCTATTTTTAACTACAGATTTGACCACCACCGTAAACCACAAAATTTATGGACTTTAAGTTACAAACCTCCTATCAAGCATATAACATACGTAAATTCAACTGCAAACCATGCAGTTTAAAATAAGAATTATTAATTAATACATGAGATTCTTTCAGAAAACTCATGGGAAATGAACAACAGTGAGACGATGTGGTGGTGGGGGGAGGGGTAGGGTCTGTCATGAAATTGACTAATATGCCCACCATTTGTCGAAGTTAACAGAAAGTTTAACGACCGTTAGAAGGAAATACTAGATTCAAAATTTCAAAATTTTTTTTTTTCAAACATTAGAGATGAATTTGGAATAAAAGAATTGGAAGGACCAATTTCGTCGAAAGTCACAAACATGATGGACTTAAAATGTAATTGTTTTATTTTTATATAATAATTCAAAAATGAAATATATGATTTACCAACCACTGATGAAATCGCAACCGTCCATTTCTACCCCCTTCAAACCTATTTATACCCCTGGACTCCCTCCCTCATTCCTTGCCTAACCCACCCCTCTCTTCTAAACAGAGAGTGTTCAGATCTGATCTGAAATTTTCAAAACCTAACGACGCCATGGCTCTAACCGTCGAGAAAACCTCCTCCGGCCGGGAATACAAAGTCAAGGACATGTCCTTGGCCGATTTCGGTCGCCTGGAACTTGAATTAGCCGAGGTTGAAATGCCCGGTCTCATGTCTTGCCGGACCGAATTCGGCCCTTCTCAACCCTTCAAGGGAGCCAGAATCACCGGTTCCCTCCACATGACCATCCAGACTGCTGTCCTCATTGAAACCCTCACCGCCTTGGGTGCCGAAGTGAGATGGTGCTCATGCAATATTTTCTCAACCCAAGACCACGCCGCCGCCGCTATTGCCCGTGATTCGGCTGCCGTGTTCGCCTGGAAGGGGGAAACCCTACAGGAGTACTGGTGGTGCACGGAGCGTGCTTTAGATTGGGGCCCCGGTGGTGGTCCTGACTTGATCGTTGATGATGGAGGTGATGCGACGCTTTTGATCCATGAAGGAGTGAAAGCTGAGGAGGAGTTTGCAAAAACAGGTAAATTGCCTGATCCGAGTTCGACCGACAACGCTGAGTTTCAGATCGTGTTGTCTATCATTAAAGAGGGTTTACAGAGCGATCCTAAGAAGTACCACAAGATGAAAGATAGGTTGGTTGGTGTATCCGAGGAAACCACCACCGGTGTGAAGAGATTGTACCAGATGCAAGCCAATGGTACCTTACTTTTCCCAGCCATCAATGTCAATGACTCCGTTACCAAGAGCAAGGTACAGTGTTTACGAATCACATATTGTTCATCTTCTTTTATCTATTAATTTTGACTGGATCTGAATAATTAAGCTGATAATTGTAGGAACTGAGTTTTGAATGTTCTCAATTACATGCCTCATTCAATTGAATTCTCACATACGATATTATAGCAGGTTTACGTGTTTATAAATGCTAGATTTTGCTTCAGATCTGTTTGTTATAGCCTGATAATGTTAGGGTTTTTACGTTTTGAATCAATTGGGAACCAAACGGTTGAGATGCATAGAATCGAGAACATAATGTTGGTCGCGAAAATTGTTCACAGGTTAATTAACTATAGTAGGATAGATTTAAGACAATTCATTCTTTCATTTCTTTGAATTTGGAAAGAACTGAACACGCATACCAGTATGCTGTTCTTCTGATCTTTGATAATAATTGATCAGGGTAAATTCCTTCTGGTTGAACCCTGCTTAGATCTTGTTTTTGGTAATTTATTCCCCTGTCATCTAGATTATGTTTTCATCTCTAATATCATTATGATTTTGATATGATCACAGTTTGGATCTTATTTTTGCAAGTTTATTAAGTAACGGATAAAGTTGTATGTGTAAATTAATTTATTTGTATATATTATGAAGATTTTTGGTTTGGATGTTTTTTTCATAGATGTAAGGAGTTTGTTTTTTGATTGGAAGGGGTGGATTGGAAAAAAACTTGGCTTTCTGCATTAAAACTTCTCTAAAGAAGCTTACTGAATAAACCACTTTCTATATAATTAAGCCATTACCAAACAGTTATGTATAGGTGACCGAGTAACCTGTGAATCCCAACTAACATGTACTAACATTACTATGATGTTGTTATGATCACAGTTTGACAACTTGTATGGATGCCGCCACTCGCTCCCCGATGGATTGATGAGAGCCACCGATGTCATGATTGCCGGAAAAGTTGCAGTAGTCTGCGGTTATGGAGACGTTGGAAAAGGTTGTGCCGCCGCCATGAAACAAGCTGGTGCTCGTGTCATAGTGACGGAAATCGATCCCATCTGTGCCCTTCAGGCTCTCATGGAAGGTCTCCAAGTCCTAACCCTCGAAGACGTGCTTTCAGAAGCCGATATCTTCGTGACGACCACCGGTAACAAAGACATCATCATGGTTGACCACATGAAAAAGATGAAGAACAACGCCATCGTCTGCAACATCGGCCATTTCGACAACGAAATCGACATGCTCGGTCTAGAAACATACCCGGGTGTCAAGAGAATCACGATCAAACCCCAGACAGACAGGTGGGTGTTTCCCGACACCAAGAGTGGAATCATCATATTGGCCGAGGGTCGGCTGATGAACTTGGGGTGCGCCACGGGCCATCCGAGCTTCGTGATGTCGTGCTCGTTTACGAACCAAGTGATAGCTCAGCTCGAGCTGTGGAAAGAGAAGTCGAGTGGGAAATATAAGAAGGAAGTTTATGTGTTGCCTAAACATCTTGATGAGAAGGTGGCTGCACTTCATCTTAAGAAGCTTGGAGCCAGGCTGACTAAGCTGAGCAAGGATCAAGCCGATTACATCAGTGTCCCAGTTGATGGTCCATACAAGCCGGCTCACTACAGGTACTGAGCCAACAAGAAACTCCTTTTGATTTTATGTGGGGGGGGTGGGGTTGGTGAAGGGTAGAATGGGAAAGTTGGTTGGAGAGAATTGATTGGTTTGTTGAAAAGACCATCAATGAATAAGGGGTGGAGTATGATTGAAGGTGGTGTAAAAACATTATATAGCTTGTTATCTTATTGGGTTTGTTTTTCATTTTATATCACAAAATCAAAGGGGGCCCACAAGTTTGCAATATACAATTCTTGTGTTCATGGAATATAATATTCATATATATGATGGATACTTACCTACGTAACTTAGTATATTGTATATCTTGTATTTGGTGAGGTTTGAAAGGTTAATTTGGGTTTTATCGATAACTCAGATATCATTAAAATAACAAAAAGTTGGTGTGTATTTTGTCGTCAATCTGCAAATGTTTCAAAATTCAAAGTAAAACCAAGAGATTTGTATCAAGAATTAATCTATGAAGAATCGTGTGAGAACAAAAGTTAAGATGAGAAGTATAAGAAGAGATCTGGACATTAATCACTTTTATCTCACCTTCATTCCCATGAATTGTGTTTGATGCGGTACATCTCTGTGCATATCATACATATTAATATTCAACTAAAATTGATTCAAGAGTGAAGATTTCTTCATACCCTTCTTACTATAACTTTCGTTCTTACTGGAACCTAACCCTGTCCATGATTGTATATATATGGGACGAAAATATGAAGGTAAAATAAAGAGATTTACATCGATAGTTGATTCCGTCTTATGGTTTACAATTACAAGAGATTTGGAGGATGAAGAAAGCAGTTGTAAACATCTATGTGAGGGCCATATCATAACATAACAACATAACCTTAAATGAGATTTTATTTAAAACCATAACCTCTCGGTCCATCAAAGAAAAAGTGATTGCACACATAAATCTAATTAAAATCTCATTTAAAATTATATTATATTATTTATATATATATATATAGGGGCCTAATCAAATGAGAACTAATTAGTTTGTGGTAACCGTGAGATCAAATCTCAACCACAAATCAATAGATAAATTAGGATATTTATAATTTTGGTAATTTTGAATTAAAATTTTAATGCAAAAACATTTTAATTTTAGGTATTTTAAAACTTTCCCATCTCCTCTCTTCTCTCGCCGTCCTCCGGCCACCATCCTCCAGTCACCGTCCTTCGGTGATACCACAATGGTATCACAATGCATCATATATGTGCTTGGGTATCACATTGAGGTCGTTTGTGTGGTCGATCGGAGATGTAACACAGTGGTATCACAACACATCTTATATATGCTTGGGTATCACATTGTGTCTTTTGTTTAACATAGTCAATATTTTTAGGTATCATAGTGGTATCACCGGAGGCCGGAAGACGGAGGACAGAGAGAGAAGAGAAAAAACCTAAAATGTCCTTGCATTAAAATTCTAATTCAAAATTACCAAAATTATGAATTTCTAACTTATCTATTGATTTGTGGTTATGATTGAATCTCACGGTTATTACAACCTAGTTAGTTCTTTCTTGAATAGCTCCCTATACATTATATGTATATGTCCCCTACTCAAGCTGAGCCACAGACGAGATGGGTGGAAACACAAGGCCCCTGCCTCTTCTTTGCACAAATATCAATTACATAATATTGTTGAACAACAACATCCATGCTTTATGTTACTTAAAGGGTGTTTGAGATTGTTTATTTGAAATAACTTATTCTTTTTTATAAAAATACTTACCAACTTATTATAAGTCAGAAGAGTTTAACTACTTCAAAAACTCCTTATTACCGGTTTGACACCAGTATAAGTTGTTTATCCAATCACTCACAAATCCATAATATTTACAAAGATTGGATTTAATTAAATCCATAATCTTTTCATAAATATAAAATCAAATCAAATCACAAGCTTATAGATTTAATTAAAATCTGATTTAAGGTTGTATACAAAATAAATGACCCCAAATCACCTTTCATAAACCTCATTTCTTTAATCATCATTACTTCATTACATATTGAATACAAAAAATATTACATTCACAACTCACAAGCATCCAAAATCAATAAAAAACCATCTTTCAATACGAAACAACAAATCTAATTGGTTTTATAACCAAAACTACACCATACAACGATTCTATTTCTTTCAAAAACCCAACTTATTAACACACATTCCAATTCCAATTCCAATTCCAATTCCAATTCCATTATTGTAAACCAACAAGAATCAAGATCCCAATCGAACCCCCTGCTAAAGAGTGTATACATATAGTACGCAAAAAGACGAACACATTACCGATTCAAGATCATGTATTAATAGCATCTCGAGCACATCTGGTAATGATTTGGCAGCCTCTATTGTAAGGGTTTGCGATCCCATTGCCATTGGCTCTACAATTGTAATATGAAGCACCAGGTGTACCACAAGGTACCACATCCCTCCTCAACGTCTCATAACTTATATACCTTTTCCTCATCAACAACACCCTCCTCCTACTGCTCTCAGATTCCATCATTTCATCACCATCACAAACCCTCTTCCCCATTGAATCAAATCCATCTACTTTCACCAAATCTGGGTCTAAAATTGAAACCCCAGATGATATTTTGAAGTGGGTATGCACCAAGATTGAAGAAAATAGCAGAAAAATGAAGGGTTTCATTTGGGTTGTTGAGTAGTGCAAGTGATTTTGGTGTTTGGGGGGTTTCTATTGATGATGCAATGAATGAAGGTGTGGTGATTGAGTGAAGGTGATGGGGCCACTCTCACCTATAAACAAGAATGAAAATTCCCCCAATTTCATGTGTCCCATATCACACCATTGTTGGGTTCACATGATATATATAAAAAACAAGATCTTGCAAAAATTTAAATAATTGATGAGTTATATACCATAAAAGTATATGAAATATTTATGGTGAGTCTAAATTTAATATTTTTATTATATATAAGAAGCTAAAATTAATTGGAAATCGCCCAGAACACGATACATGACATATTTATTAGAAATATAGATGTTATTCATTATGAGCAATTGTTTGATTCATGATGAATGACAGGTTCATAACACGTCCATATTCATATTGAAGAGGGGCATGTAGCAGCGCTAATGAAACTTTCCTTTTTAAAAGAGTCAAATTCATATGAAAACAATAATAAAATAAGAGAATATAAGAATGACAGAATCACATGTAATATTACAATAAAAACATATGTAAAATCACATGTGATTCTCACGATTAACTATGACTTGAGGTCGCACGTTAGGTCAACCACTCATCCTTGCATTGACTGTGTTTCGTAACCATATGTAAAATCATATGTTATTTTCTTATTTTAATATATATATATATATATATATATATATAATTTTTTATTTGCATGATTAAATTGGATTTGAAATTGAACTAAATTCAAATTCCATTTGATTTGAAAGCTTTCTTGAATTAAAATCTGATTCTGAAATCAGGTTGGTAGGTATTTCATGGGATTTCATAATATTTGTATGCAATAATATTTTAGAATATGTTAGAAGTAGTTGTTTTATAATAATCAATTAATAAAAAGATAATTTAATTGTTTATAATTATTTATAAAGAATGTAATTTAATTCCATTCTAAATCTTACAAAACAAACACACCAAATATTCCAAATCACTCGAAAACTATTCCATCAAATTACCAAACATCCCTTACCGAATTAATTCTCACAAAATACAATGGATGTTTTTTACTCGTATAGAAACAATGATTTGCTTACAGTAAAAAAGAAATACTGAAAATTCATTGAACTGAAGTAATCGCATTTTTCTTTTATTAAATCTCGATCATAAGAAAAACCCATGTACGATATATTAGATTCGTAAGCATAATTATGGCTCGGATTTTATATCGGTATTGTTATGGTACATATACGAGTTATTAAAGAAACTCAAACAATATAAGTAATATCTTGTAATTGTATATTTCACATAACATGTGTCAGGTTCTAAATGACAAGCAAAGTTATGGTGATAAACGTAAGAAAATGTCTCCATCATTGAATCAATCCAATCCTAATTGAAGATCAACACTCATGGACAGTTACTTACATACACATATACATACCACATAGATAGATATTTATAAGGGTATTCTTCAATTTTTCGTTTAGAGTTTTCCTCTTAAACCCCCCTCTCTCTCTAGGATCACGCGAGAAGTAAAATATTTTGCAAGAAGACGAGAAGTTTCAATATCATATATAATCACAGCCCTTTAGATGTGTTTAATCATATATGATTAAGCGTATATGTGTTCTCAATGCAACATGTGTTTAATCATATATATATATATATATGATATATGCATGCAGTGCAAAGGCAAATACCTAACGAGAAATTAGTAAATATGACATTAATATTCAAACGAAAAATTCAAACATACCTTAAAAAATCAGAAGAACCCTAATCAACTTCAACTACGTAACATCAGAATTAAAAACGTTATCGATTTACGATCACCATTTATTTGTAAACAATGCTTCACATAATTCCATCAGCTGGCAAAACCACACAAAAATAGGTCGTCTAATTTCTCCAAAAGACACCGTCGTATCAGATCGAATCAGATGCGACTGCCCGTTCATCACTCGATCGTTCGATACTCTCCTCGAACGCGGCCGGACCTCAACCAACGGAATCGTAAGACGGCAAATCGGGCACGTGTTCGAGCTCGAAAACCATCTTAAAATACATCGACCGTGAAAGCAATGGCCACAAGGAAGCAGTTGCTTGACATTGTTGCCGGGAACGAAGAGTTCCATGCAGATGGGGCAGTTTCCGGTGGCGGGATGTGATCGGATAAAGTCTCTGGTGACGATAAAGGTCTGGTATTGGGATGGGCATCTGGAAAGAAAAGTCGTCATTGAGGGAGGCATGGAAGCAGGAGGATTATGAATCTACTTTTTCAAGATCAATTAGGAGTTGTATTTATGGTTTCAAAAATATTATTAAAATATTATTCGGAGAGATTGATATCAAAATAATTCGTATTTATCAAGATTTTTTAACAAATCATTACTAAAATTAGCGTATTTTAAAGATTTATTGTGGAGTTTTAAATTGCTATCTGATTTAAATTGAGTCTACCGGGAATCCCCGATTCCGTTCGGGTGGGGTTAGTCGGGTTTTCTATCGGGTCGGGACAAATCATCATCTTTATCTGCCTGTGACAACGTGGTTAATATTTTTAGGGGTGCATTTGGTACACTGGACATGATAGGACAGAACAGGACAATGATCATTGTCCCATGTTTGGCATGACTTTTATGTGGAACATACATGAACAGAGTGGAACAAAGTGGAACATGCTTGTTCTATCCCTATCATATGGAACAAGATGGAACAAGGTGGAACAGACTTATATTTTACCAATATAATATCAAAATAAAACTTTTAATTCTCTTCTAAAACATCAAATAGGTCTTTTTTTACATTTTATTCGTTCTTTAAATTTTATTTATTGTATTTTATGTTTCGTAAACTTTCATTTTACTGTCCTTAAAATATTATTTTTATACGGTTTCTATATTTTTATTAATTTATGTAATTTATTATATATTAATAATAAAAAATAATGTAGAAAAGAGATAAAAAATAAAAATTGGAAACTACATAAACTTTTTATTTGATGTCATTTTAATTGTTTTGACGAAAACTTCATATGATATATTTTGTTATAAAAAATAATTATTCTATTATAATTTAATAAATTAATTAAAATAAACAACTTATCAGAGACAAATTGGTCATTTTACTTATTTTGTTTTGTCCAGTTTTATCTTACCAAACGTTAAACAATTGTTCTATCATGTCATGTCATGTCATGTCCTGTGTGGACAACAAACACACCCTTAATAGCACGATCAATTTTTGTTCAAATTTAAATGGGATCATTACTAAAAACAAAGACTTAATTCCTAATAAGGGTTTTTTGGGATTTAAATTTGAACATAAAACACTACAACAAAATACGGTTCATATGATACCAAAAAAAATTATACGTCATTAAAGACCGCTTTATAAAACAAAAAATAGATCATTTTATCTAAAGACGTTCTAATAAGTTTATAGCACGCTCTTGGACGCCGTAACGTTCTACTTTTTATCGGACACTATTTGAAAAAATGTTATATAAAAACAAATGTGTTGTCACAACATATTTGATTGTTTAGATCATCACAATATTAATTAAAAGGATAAAATAAATTAACTCCTGATGATGTTTTAACTCTTGTGATCTGAAATTGAACATCAACGATAAGAAATTCGGGTTTTTTGTTATATGTCGTAAAGACAGATAAACAAGTATAATTAATATGGAAATGGTATTTCTTTATATTTATTAATTAATTACCTTTCAAATTATTTTGAATTAATACTCAATCTCTCAAGATGTAACACCCGTACTTTTCTCCTTCTTTACTTCTTGTGTAAGGTTTTATTGGGTGTAGTGTATAATGATATATGTATTTATATAATATTATTTTACTATTTCTCTTTTAGGAGAAATAGGAGGAGGAGACCTACCCTTCTTTTCTTAGTCTTTACCTTATGAACTTCCTTCTTGCTTTTTGGTCCTAATCCTCCATGTAAAGAAGGAGAAAACATGGGGAAGGGTGTTAAAAAGGAGGGGTTTTCACTGTGGGAGAAAAGGAGACCTGAGGACTCCATCCTGGTCCACGAAGAGGCAACAAACAGCAGCACAGCTTCAAGGTTTCTGCGTCTTTTCCCTCGTACTGCAGCGGCTACATCGAACAGCAAGGCTGCTGCGATTTTCTTCCTACCCTCGCCTTACAGCAGCCCCGTCTGCCTGCCTTCTTCGCCCTCACACTGTGTACCATTTCAAAACAGCAAACAGCAACAGCTTGCTGTGCTGTTTCTCATTTTTCTGTAGCTCAAAACAGCCTACCTGCACCACTTCGACCGACAGCATCATCCAGCAGCAGCAGCGGCTGTCTGCGCACTTTCTCGGACAGCAACGGCAGCAAGCAGCAAGCTGCTGCCTGCGTTTTCTCGTTCCCGACAGCATCATCCAGCAGCAGCAGCGGCTGTCTGCGCACTTTCTCGGACAGCAACGGCAGCAAGCAGCAAGCTGCTGCCTGCGTTTTCTCGTTCCCGACAGCATCATCCAGCAGCAGCAGCGGCTGTCTGCGCACTTTCTCGGACAGCAACGGCAGCAAGCAGCAAGCTGCTGCCTGCGTTTTCTCGACCGACAGCATCAATCCAGCAGCGACAGCAAGCAACAGCAGCCTGCTGTGCTCTTCGCTACTTCGCCAAGACCATACAGCAGCTTTATCGACGTGTTTCTTTTCTGCACCCTTCATCTTTCAGCATACAGCAACAGTGAGTTCAACTTACCCCTTTTATGTGGAACTTTATACTATAGAAATGGAACACGTTATTTGTTTTATGCTTTTAACTTGATACATTTATATATTTAGTTGAAAAGAAGGATTTGGGGTTAAAAGCATGAACGAGGTAGACCCTGTTATTGATGATGGATTGAGTTGAGTAAAAGGTTCCATCTCTTGGTAAAATGACCGTTGTCATAGTATTGATTGGCCATAAAGCACTAAAATCCTAGTACCCTTAGTTTTGGAGTTTCTTATTGACAAGTGGGAATATTCACTAACCTAGAACACTCGCGAAACCTTGTTGTCAAGTGAGTACTAAATACTTATAGCACCGCATTTAAGTAGATTACTTGAAGGTAGTGGGTCTAATAGCATGATTGGTCTTTTTGTTGTTTTGTGTGAAGGTTGGTATAAGTTGGAATTAGGCATTGTGATTATTATGTAAATTCCAAATCACCTTCTCACTCCCACTCGGAAATAGGCATTGTGATTATTATGTAATTTCCGAGGTAAAGAGCTCATAATCACGAACGACTACATGACTGGTTTAGGTTGATGTCGGATGGTTTTATACCGGGAGTGATGCTCTATAACGTTAATCTATGACTTACTTTGTGTCTGTCGTAATTAGCGGTAAATCAGGTCTCCCCCGTCATCTTCGGATGGTTTGTTGTTCCACCTCGAGTTGTGCAGGTCTAACTGTCCCTTTCCGATAAGCTGAATTTTTGATATCTACTTGCATGCATAATTATATATATATATATATATACACGTTCCGTTATGTTTACGTAAAAAAAATGCTTTTGTTGGACTCACTAGGCGTAAGCCTAACACTTATTCTTGATGTGGCTTGTTTATCAGGTTCCTTTAGCACCGGGACTAAAAAGTGTTGAGAGGGGCGTCGGTTCGTTAAGGGCTCTTTTGTAGTTTTAGCCTTTGTTATTGTTGAGTGTTGTGTTCTTTTGATGTCACGGTATTTTTGGAGTTTGATAGAAACACCCATCTTTAATCTAGACATAGAACTAATCTAGATTAGTAGGTTGTTATTTATCTTCTCAGTAATTGTTTTGTAAACGCTTCACCTTTACCCCATTGTTGGGTGAATTCTATATCAAGTCCTAGTAACCGTTAAAAAAAAAAAATTTATTTATATATTGAAGCTTTTATTTAGGGTGTTACACAAGATTTATCAATATTTTTGTAAATAAAAATATTTTAAATCAATTTGATTAATAGAACAATTTTAATAATTTTTCTTTTTTTATAAAAATTGAAGTTAATGGGTTACTAACTCTCAGGTCCCGTTTGGTTTGAAGAAATGAAACGGATTTGAAGGGATTTGATTGATGTACTGAAACCTGAAATATCTGATTGATGTTTCCTTTTTTATTTCAGTTGGAAGTGGGACGAATCCAAAGTAATGAGGTGTTATTTTGTGTTTTATTGGTGCTTATGATTTTAGGTTGTTATTGGCCCCAAAACTGTCGTTGGATTGATGATCTCGATTGCTTTAGCTTATTGATTGCTTGCAGTTTCCACTTCTCCCAAAAGGGACAATCGTTTCTACGATAAAACAATAGTCTTTAATCGTTGATTGGTTGATTGTTGTATTAAAGTCATGGATGCTTATCCATTTCTTATTGTGCCTTGTTCTTCAGCTTTTTTCTTCTTTCGAAAAGACAAGTTATTTTTAAGAAATGGGTGATCATAGGTTTCCTTTGAACCAATCTCACGACAAGTCGTGACTACGGGCTTCGTCTACAGCCCTAAGAGAAATCTCCCAATTTCCCAGTAACTATAAACAAATATGCAGGGGCAGATCTCCTTGCTAAGTTTGTCAGATCATGTGTTCTTCGTTGACGTTAAGGATGTGTTTACTATCGAATAAGCCAAAACCATTTAATTCAGACCTCATTCAGTTCGGATAGTAATTTGACTCTGGTTTGTTTATACCCTTTAGTATGACCCCAATCACCCGTCATCCTGAATGCGTCATTGCACGTATATACATGATAACATTCGAATTCAGTATTAACCTCTTATTTTTATCCACTACCCTACCACCCTTATGGTTCAAAAAGACAAAATTGATGGACATATTTTGCTTTAATCGAAAAGGAAAGCGATGAAAATTTGTTTTTTTATTTCACGGGAATTTGTTTTTCATTTAATTTCTTTGTCGAAGAATGACCCACACATTTATGTATTATTTAAGGGTAAAATTGAGAATTTGGTTATTTATTTTTGAAATTGGACATTTTTAGGACATATATAAATAGAAACATGGACAGTTATTTTGAGACGGACGAAGTATAAATTATGATAATAAAACAATTAAAAATGACTATAAAATATGATAATAAAAACAACTGAAATTGAATATAAATATGATAATTAAACAGTTAATAAAAGGTTTCTTTATTTCTCGTTACAAGCCTGTCGAGATGCTTTCTTGCAGAACTCGGTTGTGACTCAATAGTCGATGAATATGTACTATGGTATATGTGCGACTCGTTCAGAAAATATCGACCCCCCGCTCAGTCGACTCATTAGAATTATAATTTATTGATTTAATCTGGTATAGTATATATAGATAATAAAAAAAAAAAGACAACATTGTCTTTGAATATAAATATCAAATTAAAAAGAATAGAATAATTATTTTTTATATAATTTGTTGAATTAAAAAAAATAGTACACTTAAATAATTTAAAATAAATTTTGTTTATCATGTATTTGATTATTATTATTAGTTAATTACATTCATTCAAATATATAGCAGGTTTATCATGTACTTGATTATACTTAAAATTCTTTTTATTAAAATATTAACTAAATCTAAGATATTCTAATTTTGAAGATAAAATTATAATAAATTTTATTAAATAAATGAGATGTTTATCTTGTATTAGATTATGTTTATCAAATGGTTGTCTAGATATAGATATCGAATTAACCAATAAACATAAATATAAATCTTTAGAATTTGTACTCATGCAATGATAATTTGCAATCTTAAATCAGTAGTGTGGTACTTTTTACATAATAATTTTAATTAAGGGGTTGTTTGTTTACCTCTTAATAGTTCCATTAAGAGACAACTTGTAAATCGTTAAGAGGTAAATCTTGTTGACAAAAAAAAAAGTATGTCTCTTAATAGTTCTAAAACTCTCTGAATGATTTTGTATCATTGGTCTTCCTTAACCATTCAGAGCCCTAATTTCATTGTAAATAATTAACAAACAATTATATTTCATTTTGCATTATATCATGAGAGTCTATTAATCATTTTGACCACTTAATCATTCAGCAACTACCAAACAACCCCTAAATATTCTCTAGAAACACAAACCTCTAATAAAAATAAAAGTTATATGATATTACCAAACATTTTATAAAAATTAAATTGGCATTAAATTTTTAAAAAAATTTAATAATATAAAAGAAACATAATTTCATTTCGATTACTATTTTTAAGAACATATATTTTTTTCTAAAATTCATCACAAAAAAATAAATACAACCATTTTATTTTTTATTAAAATTTATCTATTTTTTTACTTTAATTTAAATCTTCTTATATTATTTATATTAAAAAAACATTTATCGGTATCCAATATAATGCTATTATTATACACTTCCAAAATCAGGACCGTTCGATAGAATCTATTCAAAGATAGACGAACTAAGTGATAACACGTGTCAGTAAGACGCAACCACAGCCGTTTGATTAGATCCTCAAGTGAATACGCATAGGGGATTGTGACAGGTACGCTATTTCTACACGGCTTTTCCGATAATGCACATATATACGACCAAATACATAACCCATCATTGTCTTAATGCTTTAGCCCCCCTATACTTTTGTTTTATTCTAACTTTAGTCCCTTTCCTTTCAATTTTGCCCATAAAGACTCCTTTGTTCATTTGACTTTTACTTGGTGCTCATTGTCTTTTCTTGAGATGATGCTATTTACTTACACTTCTTAATGACCAATGTGTTGACTGAGTCAACCACCAATTTTTCACCGGCTTAGGTGGGCAATGTTTACCTAAACTGCTTTTATCAGTAAACAGGTGCTACAAAATATCTGGTAAACAACTATTTTTAATTAGCACTTACTTAAAGGGAACTTATTATGTAGAACATGATAAAAGTATGTAGAAAGTCAATCGATTCAATTGGAACCAACCGATCATAGTTGGATATCTAAATGTAATTTGATCATTTATAAATGTTGTAGCATTTATAAAAATGGGTTTTAAGAGGGGTAAATATGCAAATCAGGTGAAGTAGGAGGGTGGTTAATAAAAAATATAACGGCATGCCTAAATGGAGAGATACATCCAAAAATGAGTCACGAGGATGTATCTGCCACCTCCCATCACTCACCCCTTCTCTCTCTGTAGTCTGTATATAATAACTCTTTCATAAACTGGTTAGCCCACAAAGATTGAAAGAAGATGGCTACAGAAGTCGTGGTTCTGCAACATGGTTCGATCGATGGAACCCAGGTGGTGAACCACAGTTGCTGCAAAGGACCAGGTTATGCCACACCGCTTGACGCCATGGCTGGACCCAGAGAGACTCTCATTTATGTAACTTGTGTCTACACAGGTACCTAATTCTTTCTCCGATCTGATCATTAAGTTCGTTTTAAGTAATTTGTTCTGATGTGATTGAATTTGAACTCAGTTACTTTGCTTAATTGGTGAACTCAAATTCCCCTAAAACAACTCTATATATATATATATATATATATATATATATATATATATATATATATATATCTGTATCTATAATCTATATGCATGTGTGTGTATTGATGGATCGATTTGTCCTCGTTCTGATAACAATTATTATGTTACGATGTTAATTTGGAAATTTCAGGATCGTGATTGATCTGGGGTTTATGTGAAACTGAAAATTGGGATTTTTTTGGGAATTTGAACTTAATCGAAAGTTCAACATCTAGAAAGCATTCATGGATGCTAATGGGGTGAGAAAAGATGGATTGATTTAGGGAAATTGATCAAATTCACCGATAATCTTTGCATTTTAGCCTTAACTTTTTAATGTTTGAACCAAAATAGCCTAAGATTTTGCAAACGCCCATTCCGCAAGTTGTGAAATGTACTTTTTATGAATAAAATATGATTCTAGTGAGCCATTTCGCAAGCCACCATGCCCATTTCGTAAGCTGTCGTGCCAGTGCCATGTTCGCAAGCTGACCCGACCCGACCAGAATCATATTTAATTCAGAAAAGGTACATTTATCAAGTTGCAAGATGGATACTTACGAAATCTGGGCTATTTTGGTTCAACCATGAAAAAGTTGGCTAACAAGTGAAGATGTTCATACAAAACAGAATTTGTTCATCCCTTTTGATTTATTTTTCTGGTTTCTCTTTGGGTGGTTGTGTGTGTTGCAGTTTGATTAGAAATTAGTGAGTGTTTATAAATTGGGAATATTTGTCTTTGTTATTGGAATAACATAGGAACAGGAAAGGAGAAGCCAGATTTTCTGGGAACAGTGGATGTGGATCCAACCTCAAAAACTTACTCAAAAGTCATCCACAGGCTGCCTATGCCTCATGTAGGTGATGAATTGCATCATTCTGGTTGGAATGCTTGCAGTTCTTGCTATGGTGATTCAGCCGCTTCTCGTCGTTTTCTTGTTCTTCCAGCTCTTGTGTATGTATCTGCAACCACAAACAAAAAAACACGCGAGTTTTTAGTTATGAAGTTTCTTATGTCTTCATAGAAACAGCCGCTCTACTCTTTGGGTAGAGGTCAGGTCTGCATACATCTTACCTTCCCTTGACCCCACCTCAGGTGGGATGTATTGGATTCGTTTGGTTTGGTTTGGTTTAAGTTTCTTATCTTGTGTTTCTGTTTTGTTTTCCAGGTCTGGTCGAATATATGCTGTCGACACACAAAAGGATCCACGGGCTCCCACTTTTCATAAAGCGGTTGAGCCTAGTGATATCTCAAGCAAAACTGGACTCGCATATCCCCACACCGCTCATTGTCTTGCTTCTGGTGAGATTATGGTTTCATGCCTTGGAGACAAAGAAGGAAAGGCCGAGGGAAATGGGTTTCTTCTGCTTGACTCGGACTTCAATGTTAAAGGAAGGTAACTACATACCAAACATGATATAACAGCTAGTTTATCAGCCAACAGCTAGCTTTTCAGTCACTAGCTAACTTAGATGCATTTTAAACATGCATATTTAGAGGTAATACATGGTACTATATAATATCTGCTTATATATTGTAGGTGGGAGAAACCTGGGCATAGTCCATTGTTCGGCTATGATTATTGGTACCAACCTCGACACAAGACCATGATCAGTACATCATGGGGTGCCCCGGCTGCTTTTACTCAAGGATTCAACTTGCAGCATGTTTCAGATGGTTTATATGGTCGTCATTTGCATATCTATAGCTGGCCTGATGGTGAACTAAAACAAACAATTGATCTAGGCCCTGATGGACTTCTGCCATTAGAGGTGAGTGCCACAAAATTTGAATGGATAAAGAATGCTTGATAGATTACCAATTAGTATAAGGGTCTGTTTGTTAGCAGCTTAATAAGCTTAAACGGATTCACAGCTTATTCGACATGACTATTTGGTAGTGGTTTAATGATATAAAAAGTGGCTTATTCAGAAAGTCAAGTTTTTTCCAAACATGCTCTTCCCAGTTAAAAAGTATGCTCATTCCATCTATGAACAAACTCTCTCAAACAAAAACCTTCACAACCTATACAGATAAATTAATCCACACAAACAACTTTATTCATACAGGACTTAATGGAAAACCAACTAAACATCCCCTAACACTTGTATATATATACATATATATTTATGAATCCATGTTTATTCAATTATGAACAGATAAGGTTTTTGCACGACCCGACTAAAGATACAGGGTTTGTTGGATGTGCGTTAAGCAGCAACATGGTGCGGTTTTTCAAGACTTCAGATGGATCTTGGAGCCATGAGGTGCAAAATTCTTTCCTCTTTAAGTCTTGAATCCTTTGATTTGATTGGTGGGATATATTGGAGGTGGTGGGATATACCAGATGTCAGGTTTACGTACATCTCACCCCCTCCAGACCATACATTCAGGTGGGATATATTAGGTTTGTTTGCTTTGGTTGGGTTTACTGATAATAAACTGTATAACATTTATAGGTGGCAATAAAAGTGAAACCAGTAAAGGTTCAAAACTGGATTCTACCAGAAATGCCTGGGCTTATCACAGATTTCCTAATTTCTCTTGATGACCAATATCTCTACTTTGTGAACTGGTTACATGGAGATATCAGACAGTATGATATCAAGGATCCCAAGAATCCTATTTTGGTAGGCCAAGTTTGGGTGGGTGGGTTGTTTCAGAAAGGAAGCCCAGTGGTTGTCGAGAACGAAGATGGTACAACTTATCAGGTTGACGTTCCCCAAGTGAAGGTACGTACGTATACATATGTGTTTTTGTATAAAGAACCTTCCTTTTTATAGAAAGATTGTCTTTTAGCTAAAAGAACCTATCTTTTTATGAAAAGATTGTCTCTTTTAGCTAAAAAAACCTTTCTTATTACGGAAAGATCGTTGGATTGAAATCTTTACGGTTGTTTGATTAAGGGGCATCGGCTGATAGGAGGACCACAGATGATTCAACTAAGCTTAGACGGTAAGCGGTTATATGTTACAAACTCTTTATTTAGCAAATGGGATAAGCAGTTCTATCCAGAGGTTGTAGAGAAAGGATCTCACATGTTGCAGATTGATGTTGATACTGAGAAAGGTGGACTTTGTATTAACCCTGATTTCTATGTTGACTTTGGAGCTGAACCTGATGGACCTTGCTTGGCTCATGAAATGAGATATCCAGGTGGTGACTGCACTTCAGACATATGGATTTAAACCTACCGCAAATTTGAACAATATAGTTTAGATTAATACAACTGTCAACTGTTTTGAGGGTTATGTATGTATATGTATAATTTGCAAGAAAGTGTTCCTTAAAGTTTTATATTTATAAAGTGTGCAGTGATGAAGAATATACAGTTATGATTTGGATCTTGAAGATAATCATATGATACTTAATAATCATGGGAAAAGATATTGATGCATGTGAAATAAGTTTATGTTCAGCTTATCCATCCAACCTAAACACAGTGATTCTAAAGTCCTTCATGTGTAAAGTTTCCATTTTGATTCTTATATTTTATAAGAAATGGATTAAAGAATAATTTCACAATAAATGTGAAAATGATATAATTTTAAAGTTTAATAATTTTTTATAGCCATTTTTCACCGTGGATGTTTCCTCTTAGTCAATTTTCTTCCAAAATAATGAAAACGTGTAGAGGTTTGTAATTGATAGGTTTACAATCTACGAACGCGTCAAAGTGTAAAAAGATAAGAGTTTTTAAACCTGGTACATAATTATAGGGATTAAATATGTAAATTAGTTAAAAGTATGCAAAAATATGTCAGACAATATGTGTTTTTCTAAATTTACATATTTGGTCCCCATAATTTTGGACTTAGTTTATAAACTTCTTTTTTTTCTTACAACTTTGATCCCTTTACAAATCACGACTAGCCAATTACAGACTTATGACTATTTTCATCATTTTAGAAGAGAAATAACTAAGAGTGAAACCATTCGATCAAAATGAATATTTTAATTAATTTCCCATTTTTATCAACTAAATGATAATTCCATATTTTTTAAATAATTTTATCATCATTTTCCTTCATGATCATTCATATTTCACCTTGATTATGTTTTCATCCCTCTTTTTAAAAAGTCATTTCAATTTTTTTACTTTTAATTACATATATTTTAAGCAATATGATAAAAAAAAAGTACGATAAACATTTTATTTGTAAGAGCCGGCATAGCACCTGTGAAAGCATTGCCTTGTGACCGAACTTGATTAAGTTGGGTCATAAAAGAGATCACATCAAGCGTACCTGAAAGACCATGAAACTTGATTAAGTTGGTTGCGGTGAGGTTGTCGCCGAAGATTCTGCAAGTTGGGGAAACTGTCGATGATGGAACCCATTATGTTGGCATTGCAGGCTTGGAATGTTTGCAAATTGCTGCTCTGAGTGAGATTGTTAGAAAGAAGCCATAAAAACATATCTTGTTTTATTCTATTAAATACAGCAATAATATTACTTAGATGGAAAAGACAAGAGGATTGCTCAAATTATAATCAATCCAACACTAAACTTGAAACCATTTGTATTTCCATAAATGTGTCTAAGTGATGGATACAATTGCAAACAAGCAACAAAAGTTTAACCAAATAACAAACATCTTTCCTTCATGCTCTTCTTTCCTTTGAAAATACTTTTTCTTCAATCTTGCTGGCAAATGTCACCTTTGGCCTCAACAACCTCTGTTACATCATAAAACCAATCAATCAATGTCTCCCCTTTCCTTTTTCTAACTATTTTTTTTATTAAATAAAATATTGCATACCATGCTTCTACAGTGAATGCTCACATCCTCGTTCATTTGTGCCAACCGTGCTCTTGCTACTTCTTCCTTGTACAAAGCTTTTTCACACACTTCTTTCAACTGAAGCACAAATATGACACAAATCTCAAAACCTTTATTCATCAAATATTTATCTACATATATACACCCATTAGCATTTGGGGGTTGGGTTTCGGTAAAAATAAAAGTTATGGTGAGGGCAATTCTCAGAAATATAACAAGTTTCTAAGCCATATAGCAAGTATAGTACTGGAGACTCAAGCCTTCCAGTTCACTTAAGGCATAAATTATAAAATGATTAAATGATGAAGGGATCGGGTACCTGTTCTTCCTTGAGAGTAGCAAAATAATTAGAATCACTGGCAGTTCTTTCTAGAATGTTCCTGAGATGTGCCAAGTCCTTGATCAGCTCTAATGCAACCTCTTCAGCATCATGCATCTGATTTCTAGAGAACTCGAAGGATCTTTCGGCATGTAGACGGAATGATGTGCAATTCAGACAGTTGCAGGTCCCTCTGCACCCTCGTGGAGTTCTCTTCAGGATTCCATTTCTGAAATTTTCCCCTTCGATTCCTGGAGATTTTAGTGGTACAATCTGTGTTGAAGATTGGTGTGTGATTTCATTGACTGTATTCTGCTTCTCTTCACTGTTACTATTCCTTATCCTCATGAAATCATTAGTAGTATCAATACTATGTTCAGTACCTATGTTGGACAACGTTTCTAGCCTAGTTGTAGAACACAGTGATATAGCCTTAGAAGTTGGTTCTTCAACACATTCCGAATTACTTTTGGGCAATTCTTGTTCCAATTTGATGGAACTGTCAAATTTAACTGCTTCGGCTTGTAACTTCACATCCAACTGAGAAGTTGATCTACTGCACTCCATATCTGTCTCGTCAATATCCATAACAATCTCACTCGAAACTAGACCATCTGTCTTAATTCTATCACATGATGCATCAATTGGAATCAACGTAGACGTAGGAGAATCTGATTTCTCATCTGCAGTACTTGGTTGTCCAGAGTTACCATTTGTTTTAGAGTCTTCCATACTAATTCTTTGACTAAAGAGCATTGGCTGTTGTTTTTGCTCCATAGCCTTCCCAAGTTTTAAGGATTGATTGGCCTTTGAGGCGCCTATCAGAAAGCACAAACAGAAGTTAAGCTAGAAACTATTGTCTGCTACAGAAATGAACAAACCAGTAATACCAGAAACTTCTTAAGTAGGGAAATAAATTATTCGTTTATATGAAATATTACATGAATCATCTCTGGAAACACTCATCAAGAATGGAAGCAATCTTCTATGACTAAAGGAGGTTGGCATTTGCAGTTCCTTCATTCTAGAACATGGTTTAAGTACCTAATAATGAATAAGAAACCCACATAGAAGGAGATTAGCCATCACCACTCATAGTTGTACATCCAAATCAGAATTGTAGAAGGAAAAAAATCATGATATCGGTAGCTACTATATTAGAAACAATGGAGGCTGACAACATTACCAGCTTAGATGCTGAGATAGAATCATTGCCTTCGTTGCTGCAGTTCCTTACAGTGCCAGCATCTGTTGGCTTTACAAGCACACCACAGCTTTTATCAATTTTGGGCTTACAGTAGATATCTGAATCAGGTGGTGTCGTCTGCTCGGGCTCCTCTAATGTGTGGTTGAAAACATCTTCATGGCTTTTCTGCCCCACATCAGGCGATCCAGAGCTCTCAATGGTCCTGATTGAATTAGGATTCACACTGTTTGAATATTGTTTTTCACTATTTTTCACATTATTAAATGCACCATCTGCCAATTTGCTACAATCAGACACTGCATCAATCTCCTGGTCTTTACAGGCGGCCTTGTTTGGGGACATGTTACTTGATTTCTGAACCTTTTCAGGCAATGTCGCCTCAACTATCTCAAAATTTGGAGAATCTGCCATTAAAATCGAGAGTTAAGAAAAATTGGTGAGGATAGCTCATAGCACATGCGGTCTACGGATAGGAAAATATATAGAAGCAGTTGAGTTGCATACGTACCATCTTTTCCAAAGTCCTTTAGATAAGGGAGCAACCTTCTATAGCTAAACGAGCTTGGACTTTTGAATACCCTCCTTCTGCCACGCAAACTTGTTGCCTGTCATTTCAATTCCATATGATATATAGAAAAAATTAATCTCGTTTATATAAGTGTTAATCATATTTTTCAACTTCAGTCAGAGTGATGCATCAACATTGACGTTCAACCGAATAGCAAAATATATATAATTAAGCACACACTGCCTCGATATAGCAACAATTGATTCAATCGCATCAATAAGATGTAAGCACGAAAATTAGCAAACAAGAAAAAAATTAATGCAGTTTTCATTGCATTTTTTAGAAGGTATAAGTTATGTGTCTCTTACCGAGTATTGGCTCTTGCTCATTGAACCTTTGGCATCTATGATTTCGTTGGCAACAGAAATCATACCATTCTTTTCTCCAACCTCCTTGTTTTGGTCAGGTTCTGCGATTGTTGGTGTCATCTGAACAAACTCATCAACTTCCATGACATTGCTCTCCCTAATCGAATAAATATCCGCAACATTTTCCGATCTAGCTTTCAGATCGTTGACAACAGAGTCAGAAACCCCCAACTCACTACAAACAGCATCACCTTCAGAAGACAACACGTTAAATTTTCCACTGTTAGACTCACGAACATCGAGATCAGCTTCCAAACCGACTGTGCCAACACCAACAACCTCATCCGAAATCGTGGTGGGAGAAAATACCCTCCTCGCACGAAGATCCTTCACCGATACTTGATTTGTAATTTGATCACTTGTAGCTTCCGATGCTTTTTGGCTTACTAATGATTTAGGTGTAGTTCTCCGCAACTGGATAACATTACGGTTTCGAACGGAATCGGCTCGAGCGTAACCAGATCGGTGTCGGTGGAGATAAATCTGCTCCTTACTTCGAGTAAAGATGCCACCAATTGGATCAGATTTCGATGGATGTTGCTTCCGCTTCCGAGATCGGAGACCTGTTTCCATTGCAAATTCTTCTTCTCGACTGGTTTTTTTTCTGCGTTAGGGTTTCTTCTGGCGGAGAGGGAGGGAGGGAGGCGACTGAAGAAGGGTGAAATCCGGCGGGAATACTACAAAATATGTAAGCACATCAGAAATCTAGCGCGAAAAATGTCGGTCCGTTTTGGCGGGAAATCCATTTCTGCTGAAAAAACTTTCACAGTGTGACAATTTCACCCCCCTTATAATAAGAAGTAGTTCATTTCGGTCCCTAAACTCCTATAAAGTTTCACAATATCTCTTAAACTTTATAAATCGTGCAAATTGGTAATAGACCTCACCACAATGTTTGTATTTTTCTTGTTAAACACTTTTGAACATTTTGCATTAATTAAAGGTAAATTTGAGAATCTGTTTATTTACTTTTGAAAGTGGACAATTATTTTAGTACAGACATAAGTAGAAATGTATACACTTATTTTGGGAGGAATAGAGTAAAATATTGAATGTCGACAGTATTTGAAATCTGATTTATTTGAGTTCTGCTATTTATTACTATCGTATTTTTTCAAGTTCGTGTATCATTTGTGCATAACCAGATCAACACATTTCTATGTTGTTGTTATTAACTGACTTGCATTTTTATTTATTAAGTAGTTGTGTTTGGGCATACCCGTTCATGAATCATTAGCTTAACCCGTTAATATATGGAGCTCATCTTGAACATAGACACCCAATGGATTATCGTGTCCCTTGAAGGCATCGTGAGAACAGGTTCTCAATCTACATTTTGTCATGATGATATCTTGAAGTTGTCTTTGAGTTTGGTCCCTATATATCATTAGTTAAAGTCCTTTTATGATCATTGGATGATCTTTTTACCTGTTATCTTCAGGACCCGAATGACATTAGTTGCTTGGACACCCATTATTACTATGAAAAAAACGTTGTTCGTCATCAACTATGACACAGAGTGATATTAGTCAGGTTGTGTTGTTATGGAAGTATATATGTTGTTCTTATTGTTCTTTTGTCCAGGTGATGTTTATAGGTTTTACTAACATCTGGTAGTCCCTTAAAGACGTTGATTTTTCAATGATATATAAGATACAGTAAAGTGTTAGATACAAAAAGAACATTTTTCAGGTAATTTCAAAGTATAAACAGAGGTTTGTTGTTGTTGGTAAATGTAATGTGCATTGATGGGGAGTTGGGTGTCATAACTTGCTTATATAAGTCTATTGAGAAGATTGTGCCTTTAGAAAATACTCAGATGTCACAACCTTTATACAATTTGTAGTCACTGCGGCTTGTGTTTGTAATCATCGATGTCAGGTAATATAACATAGCGTGGTACATTGTGAAATCAAGAAAACGAAGCAATGATATCTTGTTCCATTCGTATCGATTATTCTTACTGATAGGGTTTGTGAGTTCGTCTTCCATGTTGTTGTTAGGGTTTCTAATCGATCATAAGTGGAGAATAAATTTGGAAACGATTTGTTAATTATATAGGATTGGTGGAGAAACGAGATTAATACGGTGACTTGATTCTTGTAGTCTGCCGATATTAAATAATCATGAATCACAATGCAAATAGACGTTTCTACCCTTATTCATTATCATTAAATGTAAATTAGCATATTTATTGGGATGGTACTAATAAAACAATATTTTTCCATAGCTCATTGATTACTAATAATTAATGGCTGAGATTATATCTCATAGTTATCACAAAATACGGAGTTCTCCCTTGAATGACCTTTTATATACATGTATATAGAAGTATATAACATGTTTCAAATACAACATATCTTACTTGTACAACCAACGGAACCCTTATCTAAACCGTCCATCTCATTTTATTTTTATTTTGTCAATTTTTTAATTGATACTCTGTAACTACCTTTTCTATATCATAGAATGCTCATCATATATGAACTAATTAATGATTAAAACAATGTTTCATTAATGAAATAATGTTATCAAGTTTTCAAAATGTTACATTCATGAAACTAATTTCTTTTTAGTTAGGAATCATGAAAGTAATTTCATCAATGAAATCATATTATTCAGTTTTCAAAATGTTCTATTGACGGAATCATATTTATTTTTTAATAAACTCAATTTCATCTTGGTTACAAACCATGAAATCAATTTCATTTTGGTTAGAATACATGAAACCAATTTCACTTATGAAATAATGTCATCCAGTTTTCAAATTGTTTCATTAATGAAACCAATTTTACTAACGAAATCATGTTATTCGGTTTTTTAAAAAACGTTCCATTAACGGGACCATATTTTCATAATAAATCAAATTTTATTTTGATTAAGAACCATGAAACCAATTTCACTAGTGAAACCATGTTATTCAGTTTTAAAAAAATCAAGATGAAACGATATGATTTATGCGATGAAAGGGGATTGAATACGGGGAAAAGAACATTTCAACGGGTTGAAACTTTTAAAACTTTTTTTTTTTCCAGTTTTGCCATTTATTGGATAAAATAATAATACTTTTATTTTTTATTTTACTAAAATAACTCCTTTTAATAATGACATTTGATCGGGAAAATGAATGAGATTGGTTTGTAGGGTTTGCGCAAAAGGGAGCACTTTATATTTGATCGATCATCTCTCTTTCTCTCTCTCTCTCTCTCTCTCTCTCTATATATATATATATACATACATACATACACACACATACAAGCGAATGAGAGTTAAGAGAAGAAGTGTAAGAAGAGATCTAGACCTTTGATCACCTTTAATCTCAAATTCATCAATAAATCACGCTTGATACAAAGATTGATCTGATGCATCTCATCCTAATATACATCAACTAATACAATAATCATGATGCAACCAAACAACACAAAAAGTTTTTTAAACCATAATAAATACATATTATTTGTTAAACTTACCCACTAAACTTAAGATAGGATCATAACGTGACATTATAAAAAGGAAAAGAAACACACTAAAAATATAAAACACTGAACCTCATATCATATATTAAATAAAACATCAAATAAGTGTCTGATTAGAGGTATTAAGCAGTAATCAATAAAAATAATAATGAAAAACCTGTTTACTTTTATTATAATACAATTGGTTCATTTTCCATAAACCCAAATTTTCATTCATGGTTAAACTGGGTGGAATGAAAAGTCATTCTCATTCTCTGTCATTTTTATTCTCGTTTTCATTCCCCAACCTAACCCAAACAACCCCTAAGTTTGGAATACAGACATCATTTACATATTAGCAACATATAGTCCTGATGATCAATAAAATGGGTTTGTTAGGTAATGTATATTTCCAGCGATTAAAGACGACTAATTATCATATACTATAACATTAAACAGTCAAGTTATTGAAACAATGTTTTTTTTTATCAGCATTTTATATACTTATATTAGGTGCGACTTTTACTAGGGTGTCATTAATTTTTTTTAGATGTACCTATCAAATAACACGTATTAATTGATCTAAATATCTTTTTTTTGAAAAACAATATTAATCTCGTATTTTCCAACATCGTTGATCACCAAAACCACCACTATCACTTACCACCAATCATCAACTCCACCCACCACCCAAACATCATCAATATTTATTAACGACACATCCATTTCAAATATAAAAAGCTTCAAATTTTGATTGATTATAGGTATTTTTTTTAAATATATAATATTTATATATGACAAATAGAACAAATAAAATCACACACCCTATTCATATTTGGCGATGTTTGAATTATTGGCATCCTATGAGGTTAAAGACTCACATACTGTTAGGTCAAAGGCTATTTGGTGATTACAAGTATCTTCAATTCAACCATTAAAAAACAATAGTAAATACATTATATTATATCTGTCTTTTTTGTTTACTTTGCAGTATATTATCATTACATTATATTTATACCTAAAGTAAAAATGTATGAAAAACAACAATAAAGTAATTTGGTTATTTGTTATTATTTCATTTCAATTTTGAAGTTATATTCTGCCAAACAAACATGCAGATTTCAATTTTCTCTTGGAAGATTCCATTTCAATCCCGGCCAATTAAAAACGCAACCAAATTTCATTCCAGTTATTTTTAAGTCAAATTCTTTTGATGTATTTCTATTATACGAACCAAATTCCCAATCAGGGAACTAAATACCTCTTAATAGTTCAATTAAGAAGCAACATCTGAATCGCTAAGAGATGAATCTTGTTTGGCAGAAAAAAAATATGTCTCTTCAATGGTTCTAAAATCATCTGAATGATTTTGTATCTTGCGTCTCATTTAACCATTAAGCGTCCTAATTTCATTGTAAACAATTAACAAACAATTATATCATGAGAGTCTCTTAATCACTCTGACCACTTAATCATTTTGTATCAAACCACTCAACAACTGACAAAAAACCCCTAAATTTCTCTTACATGGCTTACACGTCAGACATGCATACATAAATGGACTACTGCTCATGAAGACCAAAGACGAAATCTGTAATAAAATGCTAACCGCAAAATATCTGGTTTTCTCGAAAATCAAGTAAGCCAAATTGGAATTTCCTTAATCTACATGGGCAAGTTTTGTAATTTATTTTATTTTTAATAAAAAAATAAATACATTGGTTTAAAAAAGTCAATGACAATAAAATATACCAATTTTCGTACCTAATTTCTGTTCATCATGAAATGTTGTCACACACAAATGCTTCATTTGTCTTGTTCCATTAACACGAGAGACACGTGTACCAACATCATCTTCATTCCGATTTGCTCACAAATCACGTTAACTTTTAGGGAAAATTGTATCAAAATTGAACCAACTTTCATCTATTTTTTGTTTTGAGGAACCAACTTTCAAAATCGTCATTTTAAGGAACCAACTTGCACCTGATTCTTATTTTGAGGAACCAATTTTCAAAATCGTCATTTTGGGGAACCAACTTGCACCTGATTCCTATTTTGAGAAACCAACTTGCAAAATAATTATAAAAAAATAATTAAAATTCGTTTTTTTTCAAAAATTAATGCAATAAAATATATTTTTCATTTTAAATCTTGTTTTTTTAATTCAGATTTCAAATTGAACATTTAAAAAAAAATCCAAATTACAACAATAAAAATTGTTTTTTACTAATGCAAAAAAAATCAATTTAATAGAAAAAAATCAATTGATGCAATTGATTAGATATAAAAATCTTGAATGTGATATTTAATATTTATTTTTTATTGCATCAATTAATTTTCTTCTATTAATTTTTTTTTTTGCATTAGTTAAAAACAATTTTTATTGTGGTAATTTTGAATTTTTTTTAAAAAAATGTTCAATTTGATATCTGAATTAAAAAAAAATGAGATTTGAAATGAAAAATAGATTTTATTACATTGATTTTTGGAAGAAAAAAAAACGAATTTTAGTTATTTTTCTATAATTATTTTGCAAGTTGGTTTCCTAAAATAGGAATCAGATGCAAGTTGGTTCCCCAAAATGACGATTTTGAAAGTTGGTTTCCYAAAATAGGAATCAGATGCAAGTTGGTTCCCCAAAATGACGATTTTGAAAGTTGGTTTCCTGAAATAGGAATCAGATGCAAGTTGGTTCCCCAAAATGACAATTTTGAAAATTGATTCCCCAAAATATTAATTAGGTGAAAGTTGGTTCCATTTTGGTGCAATTTTCTCTAATTTCTATAATAAAAAACATAAAGCGAACTACAAATTTGGTCCCTCTTGTTTGCTGAAAATATCACTTTTCATCCCTGTAGTATTTCAAATTACAAGGTAGCCATTATGGTTTGGTCTCTCTTTCTTAAGGCCATTAAAAATTTCATTAAATGAGGGACATTTTAATCATTTTATCGATTTTTTTGTCTTTTACGAAATCAAAAACAATACAGAGCAAAATCATAAGATCGATTTTGATTAGATAAGAAATCGATAAAATTGAATAAAATATTTCTCATTTAGCGGAAAGTTTTAACGGCTGTTAGAGAAATTGATCAAATCCTGACGTTTTTACAGATCACGATGGTCATCTTGTAATTTTAAGAGTATATGGACAAAAAGTGTTATTTCCAACAAACAAGAGTGACCAGATTTGTAGTTTACTCTAAAACATATATTCACGGCTCGCTAAACACCACTTTAATGGGTTGGGTTCAGTCAAATAAAACAAAATTTGTATTTGAATGATTAATTCTTAATACCATTTTTTTTGAATGAAAAAACCATTAAATTTTATCATTTTTAACGATTAAGTTCTTGAATATTTTTTCTCAATAAAATAAACCATCATACTTTTACAAATTGGTTGTTTACTTTCTTTTAACAAAAAAAAAAAAATACATGTAACCGACTAGAAAAGTTTTAAAATAGCGTTTTCAAACCTTGTATCATTCAAAACCCACAAAAACATCGGCATCACTCCCACTCGCCGCTCCTCGTTGTCACATCGTTATTTGTTTTTTATATCACCTATCACGTCATTAGCCCCTACCATTGATAAATAATAGGGAGATCAATGGCTAGGGCTAACAACATGATACGCGATATGAAGAACGACCATTGATGGGGCAACAAGAAGTGGTGAGAGGAAGCTTTACCATTTTGTTTGCGAGGGATTTGATGGCGTAGGGTTTGAGAACGATAAAACTGATTTATGTTTCTTTTTTATTTTAAATAGTCGTAGTCGGTTACAAGTAGTTTTTTTGGTTAAAATGACGTAGGTAACTAATTTTTAAAAATTGGATAATTTATTTATTAAAAAAAAAAATGTTCAAGCACTTAATCAATATATTTAATAAAAAAATTAAACACTACAATTAAGTTTAGAGTGAATTACATTTTTAGTCCCTATAGTTTGTTCAAAAATTAATTTGGTCCTTATAGTATCATGAATTTAGAAAATTAAACACTATCAATATAAATAGTTTGTTTTATGGACCAAATTCAACAAACCACAAATGTGACGTGAGTAAGGGGATGTTTGTTTACCTCTTAATAGTTTTATTAAGAAGCAATATTTGAATCGTTGAGAGGTAAATCTTATTTGTAAAAAAAAACGGTTTGCCTCTTAATGGTTTTAAAACCTTCTGAATGATTTTGTATCATGGTTATCCCTTAACCATTCAGCGCTATAATTTTATTGTAAATAATTTTCAAACAATTATATTTCATTTTAAATTATATCATGAGAGACTTTTAATCATTATGACCGCTTACTCATTCTATATTAAATCATTCAAGAACTGCACAAGAGTTCCTAATTCACTCTAAAATATATAATTTTATATTAATATTTTTAAATATTGGTATTAATTATTATAACACTAACGGACTCCGTTAATTATTTGTGGGACCCGCTAGTTTTTTTTCATTAAATTAATTTATTTTTGTAGAAAAAAATATTGTTATTTTCACATGCATGCACATTGGATCCATGTGTGTCGACCGACTCTCGTCAATGATAAAAACAACCATTTAAAATTCGGAAAACCGTATTTATTTTATTAAATATATTTTAAATACTTTATTAAATAACACCAACCAACTAAGCTTTTACATAAAAAAATATTTATTTATTTAATAAAAATCCACTCCCAACAATGTATTTCATGTGAATAAAGAAAATTTTTATTTACAAACCTGATTTTATTGTGAATTAATAAATAAATAAGAGCTTAGCATATGTTTTTATTCATTATGAATAATTAATTTAAAATTTTATAACATTTATGGAAATATCCCTTGAGTTCTTGTTTGTTTTACTGGTTCACAACGAAAGTTACGTTTACAACTGAATCTGATTCTATATTAATTATATCATTTCAGATATAAATACACGGTTCAAATCCTTCAAAAAAGACTGTCTTTACCTTGACCCAGAACGAAAACGAAACCAATCTTATAAAAATCATGAATTTTATCGTATTAAAGATTTCTTGTTTTACCAAGTTTCGTATCATTTATTACTCAAATCAAACAACAACGACTACAACTATACTTTGCCTACATTCTCGTAATACAAAAAAGACAGATATTTAGTCATTATTCATATACGATCATATAAAGGAAAAACTTTACACACTTTCCCTTTTTTTCAACACTTTCCAATTTCAAAAAATAAAAAATCTCAAGAAAATCTCATAAGTTTGTGTAAAAAGACACCATCTTGTTTGCATTTCATGAACTAATTAAAGAAAAAATAAAAAGAAAATCTTGAAAGAAAATAGAGAATTCTGTGACAGGTTCTTTGCTAGGGTATAAAACTCAGGGACTTTTGTCTCTCTGTTCCATAATAAGCAGCCACCATATCATCTGACCAAGACTTTATACCAACAATTTCCTCATTCTTGCCAGTCTTTTCTTTCTCTTGATTTCTTCCCCAATCCTGTTACCAAATCTCTTATCTTTTTGATCCATACACAATCATGGATGTCCAAGATCAGACCACACATGTTGCCATCCCTTCAGGTTTCTTCATCTTTTTTCTAATCAATTGATCCACTTTCCCAAATGGGTTTTCTTGATTTCTGTGTCTTGCTACATTGATTCTGATCGCCATTGTTGATTTCAGTACATCCATGGCGGTTTCTTGAAAATTTTCTTTCTAATTCCAACTGGGTTTGTTGATTTCTTGCAGGAAACGAGCATCATGGGGTTCATTTATGTCATAGATGTGGATGGGCTTTTCCAAACCCACATCCAAGTGCTAGACACAGAAGAGCCCACAAGAAGATCTGTGGAACCATTGAAGGTTACACTAATTTGATTGATTCAGGAGTGGTTTCAGATGATGAGCACCATCTTGATGATGATAAAGAAAAGACCCCAAGTGAGATTTCATGTTTTTTTTATACAGAATCTGTTGTTTGGTGTGCTGTTTAATTGATTGAAATTGGTTTTGTTCTTTAAGGTCCAGTGATTGAGAAGAGGATTGGGGGAAGATCTAGTAGATCTGAAGAGGATTTGTTTTCAGATGCAGTGACTGAATTTTCAGATAGTGTGGAAGATAGATCTGTTGTTTATCAGGATTCAAACAAAACTCTGGATAGAGATTTGTTTTTTTCATTTAAGGATGCTGAACATGGTGGTGAGCATCTGTTTTTAAGTTATAGTTCTTATAGAAATGTAGGTTTTGTGATTGAATTGATGTGAATATGATTGAATACCACCATTTGAGCGATAATTTGACCTTCAAAATATAACGGAGGGGTTTATGTATAAGAATCCTATTGGAAAAGTTCACATAAATGTAGCGGATTTTCATTATTCATGATATCATGTATTTTTATTCATGATATTCATCGTGGATAACTTTTATTATTTAGGGTTATTCATTACGAATTGTTAGTTCTTTAGTTTCTCAAAATATTTTGAATAGTTGGTTCATCATGTATAACAGTATAATAACTTTCAGTATTCAAAATATCATGCATTTTTATCATGAATATTATGACATTCATCATGAATAAGTCTCACTACTCAGGTTTATTCATTATGAATAATACTTGAAATGGTTGTAGTATATACCATCTTAACCCTGAAATAATTAAGGTTCTCATCCGAACCCACCTCCTAACTAGTATGCACCATCTTAAAGTTTTCTTACTAGTTCCCAATTTTGATTTGTAGGTGCTAATGAGGTGTTAAATGCTCCCATAGAGATCAGCAAAGTCGATGCAAGTCTTACGATTTCCGAAAATCTAGATACCCATGTGGAGAAAAACGGAGAGACTAAGATAACAACTATATGTGATTCAACTGAGGCAAAACTTGAGTCACAGCCCCTAGATGCGGAATCAATTGATCTTGTGGAGAAACGGGTGGAAAAAGTTCAAGAATCTCAAGCATCTGAAACTGATGAGCATGCTGTTCCATTGACTGTTACCGAAGAAGCTAAAGATGCTGGATTTCAAGCTTCAGAGCTGAGCAAAACGACCCCTGAAGTTTCGGAGGTCGCTAATGGTGAAAAGTTAAAACCAGAAACTGTGGGTGGAACTGATTGCGAGCATATTTCAGGAGTCGTTGAAGAATCTGGAATGGATCAAAGGACCAATGGAATCAGTGAAGAAATGAAGCATGAAAAGTTGGAATCGGATCATGAACATGCTTCAGAAGTTGTCAAAGAATCTGAAACCGATCAAAGTGCAGAGGGAGTTGGTGAAGAAATCAAAAAGTTGGAATCAGATTATGAACATCCCTCAGAAGTTGTGAAAGAACCTGAAACCGATGAAAGCAAGCATGAAAAGCTTGAATCTGATCATGAACATCGCTCAGAAGTTGTGAAAGAACTTGAAACCGATGAAATCAAGCATGAAAAG